GTCTCTGCCTCGCTCTCTCTCTCTCTCTCTCTCTCTCTGCGTCTCTCAGAAATAAGTAAATAAAATCTTTTAAAAAATTGGCAAAAGAACAGACATTTCACAGAAGATGATATATGGATGGTTAAATCAGCATGTGAAAAGACAGTCAATGTCATTAGCCATTAGGGAAATGCAAATTAAAACCATGATGAGATGTCACACCTATTAGAACTAAAATAAAGAAATCTGACAAAACTAAATGCTGGTGATGATGTAGAAAAACTGAATCTCATACATTCCTGATGAGAAGGTAAAATGGTACAATCACTCCGGAAAATCCTGGGGCCGTTTCTTTTAAAATTAAACCAATGCTTATCACACAACTGAGAAGACTCTATCCCAGAGACTTGAAAACTTAAACACAAAACCAGTAGAGAAATTATTATAGTAGCTATATTTGTAGTAGCACAAACTGGAAACAATCTGAATGTGTTCCAAGAGGAGAATGGATACACAAACTGAGGAGTTCCCAAACAATGTATTATTATCCTGTAAGAAAAGGAATGAACCATTGACATGTATATAATAACTTGGGTGGATCTCCAAAGGTTTCACGCTTTATGACTTTATTTATGTAACATTCCTGAAATGGCAAAATTATAGAGGTGGGCAACAACTCATTGGCTGGCTGCCAGGAGTTAGGGATGGGGGAAGGGAGTTTCTTTGTGTTGATAGGGTAGTTCTGCATGTTGATTATGGTGGTGATTACATGCATCTGCACTTTTAATAAAGCTGCATAGAACTATACACGACACATACACATACAGTGAAAAATGAATAAAGTCTACAATCTAGTTAACAATTTGGTCCCAAAGTCAATTTCCTTATTTTTATATTGTACCATATATGATTGTGTTGGTAATGAGTAACGATATGCATTTGTCAAAACTCACAGAACCATATACTTAAATAGGTGATTTTAACTGTGTGTAAATTCTACCTCAGAAGGCTAATTTTAAAATATAAAATAATAAATTGTACATTTACCGAAAAAGGAAGGAAGGGAGAGAGGGAGGGAGGGAGGAAAAGGTGAAGGAAGGAAGGGAAGAAGAAACAGCTACTTGGGAGTAAACAGAAACCACCCAAAGTAAAGGAAACACACACACACACACACACCACATTCATGTCCTCAGAAAGGGAGTATTATTTTTGTATTACTACAAAAAATGATAATAAAAATAGGATACTCATTAATTAAAACTGTGACAGCAAAATAAAATAAAATAAAATAAAATAAAACTGTGACAGCAGATTTGAAAAACACAATAGTTAGAGGCTTAAGTTGAAGAAATCTTCCAGAAAGTAGTACAAAAAGACAGAAATGGAAAATGGAAGAAAACACAAAATTGGAGGACCCATCTGGGAGGTCCTGCATCTGAATGGTGGAAGTTCCAGAGAGGGAAATGGAGGAGAAATCGGAGAAACCAAGGGCAGAGAATCCTCAACAACACAGGAGAATTTCCAGACCTGAAGGAAAATGTGCTTTGAGACTGAAAGAGCCCAATAAATGCTCAGCATGATGCTACTTGCTGCTAAATGAAGAATCCTGGGGACAAAGAGAAGATTCTAAAAACTTCCAAAGATGACTGGCTCCTGAAAGCTCATTGTTAAATTTTAGGAATTTTGCAGCCAGTTGTTAAATGATTGGGAGCATGAAATCAGCCCTACTGGGAATATTTACACCATTATTTACATCATGGAAACTGCTAAGAGGGAAAGCTGGCTTAACAGCATATTGCTAAACAGTTAAGTACATTACAGCATATAATTTCTGCAGCTGTTAACAGTAATAACTATGAAGAATGTATAGAAACACCAAAAATGTTGAGGCACCTGAGTGGCTCAGTCGGTTAAGTGTTCGACTCTCAATTTCAGCTCAGGTCATGATCTCACAGTCCTGGGATTGAACCCCGAATTGTAGGTTTCCAAGCCGGGTGGGGAGTCTACTTAAGACTCTCTCTCTCTCTCTCTCTCTCTCTCTCTCTCCCTCTGCTCCTCTCCTTCTCTAAAATACATAAGTAAATAGCAAAAAAAATCCCACAGAAAATGTTGATATAACATTGTTAGGTAAGTAAACAAAAAGTATAAGCACTCTATAAATATAATTACAGTAAAATATATTCATAGGAACAGAGACCAAAGGAAATAAACACAGGAAAAAAGTTCTTTTGTTACAATGATGATAGGAGTGTTTTAAAGTTTACATGATCCTTATTATTGATATAAATTAAGATTAAACATGTTTGCTCAGCTCACCCTCCCCAAGTACATCACAAATCTCAAACTTTCTTAATGGAAATCCTATAAATGGTGACTCACTGCTTTAAGGCTTTCTAGGATTCTAGATAGGTAATTTTATTTTTTTTAAGATTTTATTTATTTATTCCTGAGAGACACAGAGAGAGAGAGAGAGAGGCGGGGGGGGGTGGTGCAGAGATACAGGCAGAGGGAGAAGCAGGCTCCATGCAGGGCCGAAGGCAGGTGCTAAACTGCTGAGCCATCCAGGATGCCCTAGGCAGGTAATTTTAAATTTTGTTCTGCCTCCCCAGCCCCATCTCCTACCACTTCCCTCCAGCCCCTTGCACTCCAGTTCTATCAGACCAACTGCCACCGTGAAAGGCCTTCCTTCCCCCCTGGGGTTATCTTGAGGAACCCCCAGCATCCAGGGAGAATCTTCACACCCCACTCTCATGTGTGTCTCTGTGGTAATGCTTATCATTTCGCTGGAGGTGAGTTATGTCTTTGCTTAGGAGTCTGTTCTCTGCAGAGGAAACTGTCTTCCTGGAGCCTGGCTGTACACCGTAGGTGCTCTGTAAGCAATTATTCAGGGTTTGGGGAGGCAGGATAGGAGGCTGTTGTAATGCCACCTCTTCCATGAAGCCCTCCTGATTCCCACACTACCACCACCCTTCTGGGAGAAACCACTCTCCCTCTCTCATATTGGCATGGCACTCGATGTGACCTTGGGTGATGGACTTATTCTCTCCGTAACTTAGCTTCCTCATCTGGAAAGCGGAGGCAATAACCGTACCTATGTCAGCAGATTATCATGATGATTAAACCAGGTTGTGGGGACCGCTGGCTCAGGGGTTGAGCATCTGCCTTGGGCTCAGGTCATGATCCCGGCGTCCTGGGATGGAGTTCCACATCGGGCTCCCCGCAGGGAGCCTGCTTCTCCCTTTGCTTATGTCTCTGCCTCTTTCTCTGTGTCTCACATGAATAAAGAAAATATTTTAAAAATTTAAAAAGAAATAAATAAACCAGGTTGTGTTTTCAACACCCGTGCCATGCTCACAGTAAATACCCAATAAAAAGAAGCCACTGAGATGATGATTTTGACATTTGCCTTGCTCTCTCATATTGCAATATGTAAAAATTCTCACCTCTCCTATTAGATTGAAAACTCCTCTTGAGTGGGGAACATATCCTGTTTATCTCTGTCTGGCCACAGCAGACGTCTGACGGATTGTTCCTGGTGTTCATAAAGAAGCACACACAGAGGCCATACACACATGCAGGTGTGTGCATATGCTTGTAGACACACATGTACTGATATGTCCATCTGTTGGCTAGACTGGCTGGTCTGCAGCAGTTGACCACCTCCGTCTTCTGGAAGTGGGGCATTCCCTAGCATGGCTCCTGCAATCTTCTCTCTCTTAGGGTTCCCACCTGCTTCTCTGGCCACTACTTCTCAGCTTCCTTCACGCCCCCACCCCCACCCTGGCTTGCCCTGAAATGTCTGCTCCCCATGGTGCCATCTCAGCCCTGCTCTTCTCGCTCTGGGCACTATTGCAGGACTTCATCAAAACCACAGGAGAGTATAGAAAGGTCACAAGCCTCGGTGTCCTCAGCCTTACCCTCCCTTCTGACCTCCAGACCTCAAAGCCTGCCTCCTTCCTTCGCCTTCCTTCCCCAGCACCTGTCACCAGCGCCATGGCTTCCTTGCCTTCAACAATAGCGGCCTTATAAGGATCCCATCCTCCACCCTCTCCTATGGCCACCATCTCGGCTCCAGATCCTTCCACGTTTTACCTGGACCCTTCTGCCAGAATGAGCTTTCCTTGGGTCAATGTCCTGCTGAAATTCTGCCACTGTGAACGGAGGGAGGCACACATTGATAGACAACATAATACATCAATGGTCGTTTCTTAACTGTAGAATCTAAGTGGTATGTATATGAGTGTTTGTGGCAATTCTTTCAACATTTTCTGTGCTTCAAATTTTTCATAAGATATGGGGGAAAATATCCTTCAATGGTTTCTTTTGACTTTTTGGATAAAACACAGACTCCATCACGGAGAACAGAAGATCCTCTACAATCTGGCCACTGCCTCCCTCCATAACCTCACCTGATGCTGCTCACATGTCCCCTTTCCCGTAAACCATCCCAAATTACTTGGAGCCACTGGGAAGAGTTGAGGGTATTTCATTCTTCCGTACCCACGGGCTTGCTGCACTCGATTCCCAGAATATTCTTCCCTGTGTTCTTCCCAAAATCCTGCGTGCCCTTCAAACTCAACTCAAGTGATGCTTCTTACAGGAAGCCTTCGCTGACTGCTCAGCTCCAAAGCTCCTCATCTGGTTCCAATGCCTCTGTCCTGGCTCTGCAAAAGTCTGTGGCATGAAGGGCCACACCTAGGCCTGGATTTACAGCTATGCTGCCTCACTGGAGACCTGGCCCTAGGACTGGGCTCTAGTTACTGCTTCTGAATCACGGAGGATCTCTAATTTCTCCCCTCAGAGGACTCGTCCTCAGGCAGCAGTTCCTCTGCGTGTGCCACAAATACACTTAGTTGGCTGAGCTGGATCCAGAGGCTAGATGCGGCAGGCCCACCTGGGGAGGCCCCTCCAGCCCCCTGGGGCCTGCAGGAGTGGCCTGGCGGCCAGGGTAAAGGCCCCCCTCCTGTGGAAGAGGTCCTGGCTGGGGTAGGGAAGAAGGCGGGGCCTGAAGCCGTGCAAGTCGGTGTCCCGGGCTGGGGACGGAAGTTGCAGAAGTACCATTAGTTTCAGTTTTGTTTCTCCCTCAGGCACCCAGCCACAGCAGCGTCCTGGTCTCGGGGGGCTCCCCACTCCCCATCCTGGAGCCCAAGGTCAGCTCAGGCCCGGTAAGGAGGGCCGGGAGGGCAGAAGAAGGAGGAGCTGAGCTGGAGGGAGTGGGGGGAAGGGAGCGGGAGGAAGAGGAAGGGGGAGGGGAGGAGCCCGGAAGGCGGGAGGAGAAGGGAGGGGGTGCGGCACACCCCAGATCGCCCCACTCTGGAACCAGAGGCCTGATGCTTACCTGGGAGAGACCCTCTGTCCCTCTGTTGGCCTCTCCTCCCGGCCCCCACTCCCCAGAAGTTTGGGGGACACTCCCTCACCACAGTCTCATCCTGGGGGATTTTTCCACTGTGCTGGCATCTGGGGAGAGTCACCGACCCACACAGCTCCCCCTTCCAGAGGCTTCTAGGAAAGCAGAAGCCCCTTGCAGGAGGCAGGCAGAAAGGCCTCTAGCAGATGAGGCACAGGCTCTGGTGGCCCTGAGGTTTAGCAGCTAGAAGGACAGCAAGACAGCCCCTTCCCCATAGCCTGCCTTCCTTCTGCTTCAGAACCCCTACCAAGGAAGTCCAGCAGGAAGGAGGGCCCCCACCAGGTGCTGCTTCTAGGGTCTACTGTATGTGGGATGCAGGAACTGGGCTTCAGCTTCCTGCTGGACCCTCCCCTGTGTCCTCTCTGCCTGCCCCAGCTCCCCCCTGGAGCCTACCCTGTGTCCTCTCTACCTGCCCCCACCCCAGCACCTGACCCTAGCAGGACCTCAGGACCACTCACACAGGGCTAGCATCACACTAGCTATAGGCCTGTCACCCTGGGGTGCTAATCATTTCACTCTTAACTCCCTAACGCTGGACTTCTTGGTCTTATCATTTCTTATCAGCCCTAGGCACAAGGCAAGCGGTGTTTGCTTTTGCACTTTTGTTGAATGTATGTACGGAGCGGGGCAGCTCCCTAGCTCAAGAGCAAGTGGCCACAAGCTCTGCAAGATCAGAAGAAGATTCCTGGCCATTCAGGTGAGACCCCAGAACCTGGTGGGGGCTTGAGGATGGGGGGAGAGGCAGGCTGGCAGGCTGGAGGTACTGTGGAGGTACCCTCTGCCCTCTGACCCTGACCCCTCGCTTGCAGCATGGTTTCCCAGGGATCCTCGCCCTCCCTACTGGAAGCCCTGAGCAGCGATTTCCTGGCCTGTAAAATATGTCTGGAGCAGCTTCGGGCACCCAAAACGTTGCCCTGCCTGCACACCTACTGCCAGGACTGCCTGGCCCAGCTGGCCGAGGGCGGCCACCTCCGATGCCCCGAGTGCCGGGAGACGGTGCCTGTGCCACCGGCAGGCGTGGCCGCCTTCAAGACCAACTTCTTTGTCAACGGGCTTCTGGATTTGGTGAGGGCCCGGGCTGGTGGAGACTTGCGTGCAGGGAAGCCAGCCTGTGCGCTGTGTCCCCTGATGGGGGGGGCCGGCACAGGGGGGCCAGCCACGGCCCGGTGCCTGGACTGTGCGGATGACCTGTGCCAGGCCTGTGCTGATGGGCACCGCTGCACCCGGCAGACCCACACCCACCGGGTGGTGGACCTGGTGGGTTACCGGGCAGGCTGGTACGATGAGGAGGCCCGGGAGCGCCAGGCGGCCCAGTGCCCCCAGCACCCCGGGGAGGCTCTGCGCTTCCTGTGCCAGCCCTGCTCTCAGCTGCTGTGCCGCGAGTGCCGCCTGGACCCCCACTTGGACCACCCCTGCCTCCCACTGGCTGAGGCTGTGCGCGCCCGGAGGCCAGGCCTGGAGGAGCTGCTGGCAGGTGTGGACAACAACCTGGCTGAGCTCGAGTCCGCCCGGATGGTGGAAAAGGAAGCCTTGGCCCGTCTGCGGGAGCAAGCTGCTAAGGTGGGGACACAGGTGGAGGAGGTGGCTGAGGGGGTCCTCCGGGCCCTCCTGGCCCAGAAGCAGGAGGTGCTGGGGCAGCTACGGGCCCATGTGGAGGCTGCCGAGGAGGCTGCTCGGGAGAGACTGGGGGAGCTGGAGAGCCGGGAGCAAGTGGCCAGGGCTGCGGCTGCCTTCGCCCGTCGGGTGCTTAGCCTGGGCCGCGAGGCTGAGATACTCTCGCTGGAAGGGGCGATTGCCCAGAGGCTCCGGCAGCTGCAGGGTTGTCCCTGGATGCCTGGGCCAGCCCCCTGCCTGCTGCCCCAGCTGGAGCTCCATCCTGGGCTCCTGGACAAGAACTGCCGCCTGCTACGGCTCTCCTTTGAGGAGCAGCAGCCCCAGAAAGACAGTGGGAAGGATGAAGCTGGAAGCCAGGGAGGGGATGAAACTCAGAGCCGGAGAGAGGATGGAGCCAAGTCAGAGAGACAAGGTGCAATCCAGCCCCAGAGCAGGGATGGAGCTTATGCCCCAAAGGAGAACAGAGCCCAGACACCCCAGGAAGATGGAGCCCAGACCCCAAAGGAGGACAGAGCCAAGACACCCCAGGAAGATGGAGCCCAGACCCCAAAAGAGGGCAGAGCCCAGACACCCCTAGAAGATGAAGGAGCCCAGACCCCAAGGGGTGGCAGATCCAACAAAAAGAGGAAGTTCAAAGGCAGGCTCAAGTCAATTTCCCGGGAGCCCAGCCCAGCACCCGGGCTGAACTTGGAGGGCTCTGGCCTCCTCCCCAGGCCCATTTTTTCCTGCAGCTTCCCCACACGGATGCCTGGAGACAAGCGGTCTCCTCGGATCACAGGGCTCTGTCCCTTTGGCCCCCGGGAGATCCTGGTGGCCGACGAGCAGAACAGGGCACTGAAGCGCTTCTCCCTCAGCGGTGACTACAGGGGCGTGGTACCTGTCCCTGAGGGCTGCTCCCCGTGCAGCGTGGCCGCCCTGCAGGGGGCAGTGGCCTTCTCGGCTGGTGCAAGGCTCTACCTCATCAGCCCTGACGGCGAAGTGCAGTGGCGCCGGGCCCTGAGCCTCTCCCAGGCCAGCCACGCTGTGGCTGCGATGCCAAGTGGGGACCGGGTGGCCGTCAGCGTGTCAGGCCACGTGGAGGTGTACAACATGGAAGGCAGCCTGGCCACCCGATTTATCCCGGGGGGCAAGGCTAACAGGGGCCTGCGGGCACTGGTGTTCCTGACCACCAGCCCCCAGGGCAACTTTGTTGGCTCCGACTGGCAGCAGAATAGTGTGGTGGTCTGTGATGGGCTGGGCCAGGTGATTGGGGAGTACCGGGGGCCAGGCCTGCACGGCTGCCAGCCAGGCTCTGTGTCTGTAGATAAGAAAGGCTACATCTTTCTGACCCTTCGCGAGGTCAACAAGGTGGTGATCCTAGATCCGAAGGGGTCACTGCTGGGCGACTTCCTGACAGCTTATCACGGCCTGGAAAAGCCCAGAGTGACCACCATGGTGGACGGCAGGCATCTGGTCGTGTCTCTCAGTAACGGGACCATCCATGTCTTTCGGGTCCGCTCTCCTGATAGTTAAAGGGCTAGGACTGGGGACGGTCTGGGGGAGGGGTGGGGGGGCTGTAGGGAGGGACGAGGGAGGCAAGGCTGCCATGGGATGTGGTGGCTGAGGGCATTTCCCAGAGGGCAGGGGCTGGCAACCTTTCAATGTGAAGTGCCAAACTGCCAACCCCTCTTCGGTGTGCAGGGATGGGACCAAGGGTGGTGGTATGACCACGGCTCTCAGAAACAGGGGAGGAGGGTGCCGGGGGCTACCTAGGCCTCCTGCTTTTTGTGGGTGACTGTCTGCCTCTGCTGATGCCCTTATAGATTAGGTTGCTGAAATTCGTAACCCTGTGCCAATTTGCGTTCTTCGAAACCATTCCCCAATGCAGTGGCTCAGGGAGGGTTGGTAGAAGGAATCCTCTAAGCCAAGCAGGGCTCAGGGTATGTCAGGTGTGTGCCCTCAGGGGCACGCCAGGTCATAAGAGGCGTAGGATTTTGAAATGGCTGCAGCCAGGAAGTAGAGGCTCCTCTGGTCATGGTGTCCCCCAGTGAAGGACAGAAAATCTGGCTTTCGTTTGGCTGAACTGAAGGGTGACGGGATTTGCCCTCAGGTAGGCTGTTACTGCTGAGGGAAATAACCTAGTCCTAGCCCCGAGGGCTAGGTGTGGGGCCATGGGGCCAAACCAGCTGGAAAACCTGAGAAGTCGGTAGTGGGTCTGGGCTGGGAGGAGGAATGAAATCTACAGGGAAGGATTCCGTTGGAGGTGAGCTGTGACCACTGGTCTCTTGCATGGGCAGTGACAGAGCCAGAACCGAGGTGGACATGTTGAGCCAGGGGCTGTCTTGAGACCACCAAAGGGAATTTAATGTAGGGATTGTGAACGATGGAATGTTCATGGGAACCAGAGGGATTTTGGACAAGTCCAGAGGGAAAGTGCAGGGCATTAGGAGTGGGGAGAAGAAGCCCCTTTTCTGGAGAGGTCATTGCTCATTCATTGAAGCAATAGAGAAAATCATCAATGTCAAGCAGATAAATTCAATTATATAAGAACTTCAGACATTTGCACAGCAAAGAATACTGAAAGATGAAAGGAAAACCAGTTAAGGGGAGGAAGCTATGTAGAATTGGTCCGAATAAGGACCATGAGCCTCTAGTAGAAGCAGTGACCAAGAGATCTACTTGGTTCAGAAGACCAAACAGGCTGGCCCCCAGGAGGTAACTCACACAGGCCAGCGTTAGGAAACAATCAAATAAAGTCAACCCCTTGCATCCATCAGAAATACATTTTAAAAATATGTCGTGGAGAAATAGACTCCCGGCACCAGGGAGTCATGCTTTTTTGGAGAGCAGTTTGGCAATACTTGACAAAGGTAGAAAGAAATGACTGTAAGACTAAGTTATCTCACTTTGGGGAATACATTCTGGGAAAATAATTCAAAAGAAAGAAAGTATTTGCACAGAGATATTTGTGGCCACCTCTATATCACAGTCATCAATTGGAAACTGCTTGGCTGTGGGGGACAGCCGAGTAGATTGTGGTCTATTAAGACTATGAGCTATTGCCTTCACATATGACAACTATGAGAACTATTTTGAAAAATATGATGCTATGTGATGCAATCACAGCAAAAAAAAAAAAAGGGAGAGAGAGAATTTGGAATGATGATCACATAATGATAGCAACAAGGTAAAAGTATTTCTGAATAGTTATCGAGTGGAAATAGGTTCAACATTTGTATATAGTGATTTGGGAGACTGGGTTCTGGTCCTTTCGGCTGTTACTCATATATACACATTCCTACTTCAGTTATTATTGACCATTACATAACACATATGCTTGAATATTTGCATCAAAAAAATAAACCTCTATAAATGATATTCGAGAATAGCTATTGGATTTGCAAATGAATGTGTCAGTTAGCACAAATGAGACTGTCCGGTTGAAGAAGAGGGAGGAGTTGGGGGAGAATCCCAACTGGCCAGGGCCCCGCAGGGAAGAAGAGCCTGTCTGGTGAATGACCATGAAACCTGCCCTGGGAACGTATGCAGAGGTCACAGAGTCCTCTGGGGTGATCAGATCATTGTGGAGTGTCCACAAGGCAGGGGAAGGTCTTGCTGAGCTCACCAACTAATTCAGACCATTGGAAGCCAAGTGGTGTTTCTACGGAACCAATTGTGTAGGGTGAGTTGTACGGGGATGGGGATGGGGACAATGTTTTCTCTTCTTTGCAGCTCTACTTGCAGAGAGCACAGCAATGGCTCATAGTAGGTGCTCAATGAACATTTGTGAAATGAATTAATGCCTAGAAAAAGGACACTTCAGATGTCTCAGCCCCAGCCAACCAAGTTGTCTAAAATCTTGGCTGGTGGGAAATCTCTGGTAGGGGGCACTGTGGACACAGTCCACCTAAACCTCCCAGGGGGTGGCCCAGCTCTGGGTCACACAAGAGATGAGATTGGGGTGCCTTGCTTGTGTGTGAAGGGGAACCTGGTGGGTCATAGGCTCTGGGGGATCATATACCTTCTAGAGCTGCAGGGACCACCTTACTTTCCTGGAAGCTGTAGGAATCCTGGGAAGGTGGGCATTGGAAGAATGATGAAAGTACTAACTTTTCCTCATTAAGGGACAGGGGTAGGAAGGCACAACACACTGACAAAATGTGAGAGGGAAGGGAAATGCAGCACTGAGGATAATTTGGGGGCAAAACTGTAACCATGACCTAGGACCACTCAGCACAAGAAAGTCCTTGGTTAAACTACAGATGTTACGAAACCAGGAACATCCTGAAAGATACAACACCTCCCCCATACACACACACACACACACACACACACACCCTGCATTGGACTATGACCATTAACTTGATCAATCATCCCATTTCGTGTCTGGAACTTTCGAGGTTGTGGATATACTGGTGAAAGAAGCATGTGGTTTGGGTAGAGAGAGAGGGAGTAGAAAACTTCTCCCATAGTCTTTGTGTCTCATAAAGGGAAGGGAATGAGACAGCAGAGACCTGGGTTGAGTGCCGGCTCCTCTATGAAATAGCTGTGTGATTTGGGCTAGCTTCCTAACTTCTCTGAACCTCAGTTGGTATAGCAGTAAAATGAGGATCACATTAGGCACCACACCCACCTCACAGGGTTGTTTGTGAGTCCTGGGTGAGGAGCACGGGGAAGTGCTTTGTGTACCATACGGCTTAAATCGGAGGTATGGGTCAGGAGCAAGCTCAGCCGACCCATACTGACCTAACTTAGACTCTTCTAACACAGAAGCCTGTGTGGGGATGTTATATGAACGTATTGTGAGGTCAAAGCTCAAGAAGGTCCAGGTAGAGTTATGACCCGTTTTTCCTTTGGAGGAGGTGTTTTGTTTTGCTTTGTAGCAGCTATTTGAAAAAGCCATATGTAAGACACAGCAGTAACTGTAGGAGCAGAAGGGACCAATGGCTCGCTTGCTAAGAGTGCTGTTCCTAAAAACCAGCAGAGAACCAGACTGCCAACAAAGGACTGATAACGGTAGGCTCTTAGGAAAAGTTCAAAATAGCAGGCGTGGCCCGATCTTTTGATAGTTTAGAGGTAATATAATGTGGGTGGGGCTAGCTCTCCTGCCATCGTAATCTTATTATTGCTGTATCTATAAAGCCATGTCATTCTTACACACGCTATAGAGATAGAATTCCAGAGGGGCGGAGGTCTGAGAGGGAAGGCAGAAATCTTCCGAGGACATTGGTGCGGCCAGTGATCTGGGCTGGGCGGGATTCAATAGGTGGGTGCCAAGAGCAGGTGTTGGACCATCTCTCCGTGGCAGGGCAGCTGACGATCGCAGATACCCTGCAAATGAAGTGGAGATTGAACAGGTCTGCCTCGGGGGTGGGCTGGGGAGGGTAGCGGTTTGGGACTAGCTGGGGCAGAGGGCTGCTGGAGCGCACTCGAGAAGACGATCGAGCCAGAGAAAGATCAAGTTCAGTGGCAGGCTTAGGAAAATAGGTGATTTGACTCAAACTAGCAGAACCAGCCTGCCCAACTGGTTCACAAATATAGTTTAATTAAATGGATCAGGATAGGAGCAAAAATAGGTTTTTCTGGGGACCATGGATGCCTTTTACAGGAGTGGAGTAGGTTCAGTGGGGTCGAGCAGGACCTCACCTGAAGCCCCAGGTGAGGAACCTTCAGGACCAGGTAGAGAAGGGCCTATATATAAGGAGGTGATTAGGAAGGAGTTTTGGGAACATAACCTGACTTGTCTTGGGAGAAAGTTTGAACTGGTTGGCTTGGCAGCCAAGAGAGATGAGGCTGAAAACAATCGGGACCTCAGTACCCATGGTGTCAGCCCAGTGAATTTTTCTTAGTTGCTGTGGGCCGAAGGATATGCGCGGTAAGCTTTCCTTCCTTTGTATACTTCATATCATTCTTCTGTTTCTTAATAAATTGGAAAATCATGAACCTTTTCTTAGATGGATTCATGACTATGGGGAACTGTCAACACCAAAGCTCAGAGAGCAAAGGGCACCAGATGTCATGACCACCCTGCTGTAGCTCCAAAGATGCCAACACACAGCCCTTGGAGGACACTGTAGGAGCGGAGTGACTGGCACAGACACCACATGTGCCCTCCCCAGTCCCTCCACTCCCACTTATAGACAGAGGGGGCGTCTGGGCAGAGATGTGAATCTTCCAGGATAAGCCTTGGCGGGAGCCAGCAGGTGACCTGGTTCTGTAAGACTGCATGTGGGCACAGTCAGGTGGGGTACAATTGCATGAAGGGGTTGGGGGTTGGGGGAGGCAGGCCAGGGGCCCCAGTCAGGGTGCCTGTGCCCACCACTGGTCTCCGCTTGTTTTCTGGTTTGAAGGAACCAAACAAGGATCTGTGGGCACCTTCCAGCATGCACAGTGGGCCCTGCAGGGCTGGGAGGTATCAGGGTTCTAGGAAGATCTGCCTGCTAACCAACCCTGCCCGCTCTGACTAGTCTCCAGAACCCCTCAAGGAGCTCCTGCAAACACACACCACCACCACCACCACCACCACCACCACCACCCCACCCCCACC